ATTTGCATTAGCCAGTTACCTTGTGAAAGAAATGTGCCTTACTATGTTTGATGGAAAGTTCCATTTTGAACTTGGTTTTAGTGCTATGGAAATGAATGTTTCCTTGATGTCCTAAAGCTGCAGTTGGCCTGTTATATTTTCAAATACACAAAAGGTATTCCTACTTGCATATGTTTCTTTTTGGAGGAATCAAGGTACCAGTATACAGGGTTTCAGCACTTTCTATATCTGTTTTTGGCAACAATTTAGAAGCATTATAGCTTGGTTCTTTTTCCAAAGGTGTTAATGCTTTTTAAATATGTAATATTCCTGAGCATTTATCCTTATGAAAATATTTATATTTTCTCTTCAATCAGATACATAATAAATAACCATAAAAGCAAAGCACTTAAAATGCATTTCTCTACAGTGAAATTCAGACTGTCTGTCTTTCTCTAAGATTAAAAGAACTCAGTTTTGTCATGTATCAGGCTTACTAGTACGTATCTGCTAATGTGAATGCAGTTCAGAAATCTGTGGTTTATGCTATGTTCTTCATGTAACACTCACAAAGTTTTAACCAAAATCATTCTCTATTAAGATAAAAACAAAGCAAAAAAATCAGGACATAAATTTACCACATGGAAATATTATGTGCCTAATTTAGAAGCAATGAGATGAAACAGAAATTATCATAGATATTTCAAACAATCTCAAGTAAAGTCTAGCAGGCACTTTGTAGGAAATTATGCATTTAACAATTTTTAGTCTGCATTATGGATTGTGGAGTGTCTCATAATTAAAAATTTCTGGCAGATGCATTGGTTTGACTAGCCTAACAGTGTACCTGGCTAGATATTGTTTATGTCTCTTGACCAAACAAGCAACTAGACCCAGTAGTCCTTATGATTAGGTTTCTGATAACTCATTTAGCAATCAGTTTCCATCAATATTTACCTTAAATGCAAGTCAAATTTGCTGTTACACTTAGCTCATAAAATTGACATAAATGTCAACCCAATTCACATTAAAATAAATATTGAAGTGACACCTGTCTCAAGAAGCCTTCCCAAGGAAAAGGGTTTAAATACAGAAGACAGTCACAATCACATGTTTTTAATAAGAGTGAACTAAAATGTAAACACAATGAGAAAGTAGTATCTATATTTCTTAATGTGAGTGAATGGATTGATTTGGTATTTAAAACTAATGCAATATGGATTTCTTGCATTTTATCTTTCATAAAACTGCACTTTAGAAGTGTAAAAGACAAAATACAGCTTCTTTGTACCCATATCTGCTTTGTGGTTTTGTTGGTTTCTTTTTCTTCTTTTTTTCTTGTTGTCTCAATGATGTACTCCCTTTCATGTATATCTATGTATATCTGCTTCCCTACCCCTAGTTCTTATTTGCTCTTTATACTTATTTTCAACTATTTTTTTAAAAATCCAGTTTACTAATTCTCCTTTCACCCTTCAACACAGCCTATACTCCCATCATCAGCAGAAGTTTTTTAATTATTTTGCTTATTCACTGTCAGAGTCTGATTACAGAGGAGGAAATCTAAAAGCCACTAAAAATGTATCAGTTTTTGGGTTTCAACAGTTTCTCATCTTTATATGACCTAGGGTCTTGAAATTATGAGGTATTTCTCCATTGTAAAATTTTTGATATCAGCCAAAGTGAAGGAGGAGTAGGGCAGGTAGAAATTTAGGCAGAACTCAGAAATAGGTCACACTTTTTTGTAAACATGCAAAAAGCAAATGAGTTGTATATGGGTTTGTTTTGACGTAAAGTAAGAAAAAGGCATGATTGTTCAGTGGGCAAGAGAAGATGGTACACTGAAACTATTCCCTACTAAAACCTGGTTACAAATTACCTCTACATGCCCCCAATATGCATTTTAAACTCCCATCTTCTCCCTTGAACTATTGTTATATTTTGTTACCTGCTGTTAACTGTGGTTGAAGCACAATATGTCAAAGTAAGAACAGGCTTTTACCAAGAGTAAACCTTCCTTCAACCTAGGTGGCTTTTGTATTATTTCATGAATATAACTTTTTTTTTGGTGACACAATGTGTTAAACTCCTAGGAAGTTAATTAAAATTCCATGTGTTTTGTATGATAATTTAAAACACAGCTACTATTTGGAAAAGGTATTACCACAGAGTGCCTGGGACATATGCCAGAAAGGCTTAAGTAAGGAAAGAAATATGTACATTTGCTGTCCTGTCTCAATAGACCAGTGGCAGTATTTTCTAAATCACAGGGATCTTGATGGGAATTCGGAGATTAGGATATAATTTTAACTAGTAATTGGATATACTTACCACTGCTCCCCCATCTGTTTCTTTTCAAAATGACAAAAGCTGGCTTCCTTCTCTCTTATTTTGAAATCATTAGACCATAGTGATGCCATCAATAATCTCTTTCAAGTCTATCTTTTGCCATTTTAAAACTTTGGTTTATACGCTTGCCCAAAGTTTTATCTGCTGAAACTCAAAGCAGTATGATGAAAGAAGTCATACCAGATGGAGATGCACTAACGCTTTAGTGGGACATTGGGGTTTAATACAGAGATTTCAAATACTCAGGTAATCTCAGTCTGATCTTTTGTATACTTACAGGGTTTGGGGATTGTTTTATTCAAATGCATCCATCACTTGAAAAAATTACAAGTGCTCAGTGATAATTCCATTCTGGAATTACCTGAAAAGAGGTTGTAGTGAAGGAGGGAGTCTTAATCTTCTCCCAGGTAAAAAAGGACAGGATGAGAGGAAATAGCATCAAGTTGCATCAGGGAGGCTTGGATTGAACATTTGGAATTTTTTTTTTTCACATAAAGGGTTTAAAGTACTGAAATGTATTGTCCACCTTCCTTGGAAGTGTTCAAAAGACCTGTGGATATGGCACTTGAGGACATGGTTTAGTGGGAACATTGTGATGATGCTAGGTTGATGGTTGGACTTGATGCTCTTGAAGGTATTTTCCAAGCTTAATGATTCTATGATTCTATGATCTAGTGATTTTATGGATGACAGAAATTTGTGAATTGCCTAAGACTGACAAGTATGTGTTGTGTGGGTTGCCTAAAATATTTACACACACGTGAGCACTCATATACACATGCATACATGCATACATATATAATGCAATATATTTAGCTTCAGACTACTTAAAGTATGTAGAAGTGATTCTATTTTATGCTCCTATATAGTAGTACTAGCAAAACATCTACACAGATATCACTGAAATGAGTTTTTTTCAGGCTTCTGGCTGGGAATGTTGATCAGCAGTCTGCGTTTCTTCATTCTGTGTACAAGTATATAGAAAAGTAAATACTCTCTGTTCTTTCTTTCCAGTGGATAAGCAGTGCTTTGTGTAACAAAATTGTTTGAGAAATAACACATTTGTAGAGTCTTGTTCTATTATTTAATGAGATCTGGAAATATATCCTTCTGCTAAAATCACCAGAAGGACATCTTTTGTGGAAGTACTGCATTAAGTGAAAATAATTTCTTAAAGAAGAGGAAAAGCTTGATCCTCAGTAATTCGTGGAGTACAGGAACTACCACAAATTAAATTGCATCAAAATTGTATTACAATTGGCATTCCTAAGGAATAATTCAGTATTATTTTTTGTACAGGATTATATGATGAAGGATAATTGAAAGGGTGTTTTGATATTAAAAAAAAAAAAACAACGTTCAGAAGGTGAGACACATCCTAAAAACAGTACAGCTACTACTTATTTGCTAGAATTTCATAGCACACAAATACAGTTTGCCCATGCAAATAGAGAACTGAATCTTCAATGTCCACTTCATGGACATACATAATATTACATGTGTGAAATGGATGTCCATTTTAGTCATCAGTGCCATTCTGATAAAAGACAAACTACCCTTCAATTTAATTCGAGCCAAAGTAATTGCAAATGTAAATATTTAGTTTGCACGTGTGTTTGTCGAAAAGAGGCAAAGTTTTACAATCACACCTGTTAGAATGATTGTGGTCCTGGGAACTGCAACAAAATTAAGCTAACAAAGAAGGAATAGAAACACAGAAACATGATCAAAGTGAAGATGGAAATGTCTTATTCATACACCTAAAGGCTTTCCTCACTGTAGTTTAGTGAGAAGAGCAAGTTAAGAACTGTCTCAATCTCTTTTGTGTCTATACAGAAAAATCTCTGTCTTGAATAAAATATTACCGTAAATCTCAGTCCTGAAAGCCACGGCCTGAAGCCCTAACTGTGCAGCAGAGCTGCAGGCACAGTCCCCACCCGAGGTAGTGCAGCTGCTCATTCCCCCGCGGTCCCTGCGCACGGCAGCTGGTGTTCCGCGGTGTCGTGGTTTGCAGTGGTATCACCCCGAACCCCGCAGTTCTGGTGAAATGGGTCCGAGCAATGGGTCGGAGTTTGATCTCCAAGATTTCAGACTAATTCAGCTGATTTGCAGTCTATTATTTAGGCGCTAGATGTCACCATGTACTGCAAGCACACGCGGGCTGTGCTTGCTGGTAAACAAAGAGGAAATCGCTGGAACCAAAGTTACGTAGTGCATTGTTCATAGACATATAACCCAATTACCACTTTGTTACCACCTGTCTGAATTTTCCCAAGGAAAAAATTATGTTGGCAAACGTTGGCTATTTCCCGACGTATTTCACTGGAGCGTCTCGAATCAGATCACGGCGTTTTTCATTTTTATTTTTTTTTCCGATTTATAATGAGTTTGGCCCAACCTCGTTGCACAGGAAACGGTGGGAGGTCTGAAGCTTAAGACAAGCCCAATGTCAGATCTACATCAAAGCTGACAGCCTGGGAGGCTGAGGTGCCCTGGGGCTCCGGGTCCTCAGCAAAGGCAAGTCCTGGAGCTTCACAGTCCCTCGTAATTTCTAAACCAATTGATGCTCTTCGGTGTGTAACAGCTACAGAAACAGGTTCCTTGAAATTCAGTACGTTTTTGGGTTTAGTTTGATTTTGTTTCAAATCAGACACCAAAAATAAAAAATAATTAAAAAAGCGCGTTGGAATCAGATTTTCCAGTCATCTCTTTCCCCAGATAAGACTGCCCGGACTACGACTGCTGTAAGTAACTTTGTTCGCTCTCCCCGGTCAGCTCGGTCAGCGCGCGTGTACCGACAGCTGCCCCGTGCCTCTGCCCTCTGCTACTGTCGCCTCCGATGCGCTTCATCCTTCCATCCCCCCACCACCGTTGCCTCTACGAGGGCAGCGCACTGTGCCTCTCCCCGACGCCTCCCGCTTCTTCACCTGCTTTTGCACCCGGCGGACCTTTCACAGCGCCCCGGCACTACCTGCGCGCCTACACTGCGGACTTTTTTCTTTATTTCTTTTTTAAAACTCGGACATGGGCATATACCGCTGCCTCTGATATTTTAGTTGTAAATCAGCTTCTCTCCACCCAGCCGGGAGGAGACCCGTAGGTCAGGGCAGGGGTGCAAAGTACCCCTCCGCCTCTTCTTTGCCCCCCTAGCCCCGGGTGCTGGCAGGAGAGCGGGCGGGCGGGGCCGGAGGGATTGCAGTCCCCGCCGCAGGAAGTTCCTCGGCCGGGGCCGGGGGGATTTGCAGTCCCGCCGGGAAGTTCCTCGGCCGGGACCGCAGAGGATGCAGTCCCGCCGGGGACCCCTCCAGCCGGGGCCGGGATCACTGTGCTCGGCGGAGCGCAGAGCGGAGCCACTGCCCGAGGACGGCACCGGCGCGGCGAGGGGCGGGTGGGCGGTGAGGGCAGGTGAGGGCGGCCCCGCTCCGCCCCCGGCGCGGGGGCGGTTGGGAGCGGGGGGGCGGCGGCCGCGGGGCGCAGACCGCCGCCGCTCGGGCCGGAGCTGGGGAACTCCCGCGGGGAGTTCCGTCGCTGCCAAACTTGCGTAAGGGCCGGGGAGCCGGGCGGCGAGCGCGCGGGACTTGCGAGCACTCGGCGGTACCTCCGGCCCGTGTCCCGGGCGCGGAGCGCCATGCGCCGCCACTGATGCGCGCCAGCGCCAGGGGCCCAGGTGAGGATCGCGCCCGGTCCGGCCGGGTCGGCCGCCAGCGTCGAGACGCGGGCCGGGCCTGCCGGGCGGGCGGGCCGCCGCGACCGTGCGGGCCGGCTGCGGCTGGGCTGCCCGCCGCCTGCCGGCGGCGGCTCTGCCTGCAGTGGGCCTCTTTTGTTTCCGGGGCCGGCGGGAGGGGAGGGAAGGAAAGAGTGGGAGAGCAAAGGGGAGGGGAAGGACGGCAGCGGGGCAGCTGCAGCCAGCAGGCGGGGCGGCGGCGGCGGGGAAAGCCGGGGCAGCGGCCGCCGGGGAAGCCTACGCGGACGCGCTTGGCCTGTGCCCAGCAGTGTGCGGCCCCGCGACTCCTCCGCGGGTGCTCGGCAGGTGCGGCGGGGCCGCGCTGGCTGGGCCGCGGCTTTGTTGGTGCGCGCCCGGTGGGATACTGCTGGAACTGCAGTGGGAAGCAGCTGGGCTCAAATCAGCATCGCGGCAGGGACTGCGCTGGGACTTGGTAGGTATCCCCGAATAATCGGGTTATCGTGGAGTGCCTTCCTGGTGACTAATAACTAGTGTCTGCTTTACTTGCCCAGAGGCACGGAAGAAACAGTGGGAGTTGTACATCATCTCAGCCCTTCCGAGAAAAGAGGGTGTGCGGTGATGAATGCCCCGCGGTTTTGCTACATCACAGCTTAGGCGAGAGCTGTGTGCTGAAGATGCTGTCCTTGTTTGTGCTTTACATGTGAAGTAGTGGCACGGATTCTTTAAAAGGGGAGAGATTTTAAATTTCTGAGTAGTTATAAAAAGAAAATAGCACCTGGGCCTTGACAAAGACTAAATGAAGATAAATGAAGATAAAGCAGTACTTCGTATTTTTGTGTGACATTAGTCAAGTTTTAATGAATCACAGAAAAATTGTGAAATGATGGGAAATGGCCTATGGGTAGCAGTAGGGAGGAAGGGATGTTCATCTTTGTTCTTAGGAGTCTGTAGCTCTTCAACATGCTTTGTCTGCATAGATACTATGCACTGCCTGTGCAGATGTAGAATCTGCCTGATGAAGTTTGTTGTGCCTGTGCCTCCTGCACTTTCCCTACTAATACATACAAAGTCTGTATGCCAGGGACTTTGAGCTAGACAAAGTGTCCACAGGAGTAACAGTTTATGTAAAGCACTCATAATGCCCCCATCATCAAATTTGAGAAGAAAAAAGTGTGTGTGGGGGGAAGAGGACAAAGACAAGGGGTGTTGTGAGGTCCATGCTAAATGAGTGTCTTCTAAAATTCAGCATATCATCTGAACAGTAGCTGGGGAGTGTGCTGTTTTGAGATGTGGATAGGTGTTTTTCAATGGCAGACTGTAGGGTTTTTTAATTATGAATATTATCACTTTCACCCCCACAGTATTTTGTGGGGAAAATGGTGGTGAGGGTTGGCTGGAAACTTTTAGGCAGTTCATCAGACTTGTCGCTGGTTGGTGGAGACACTAACTAGTAGAAGATGGTGGCCCCTGTGTGGAAAAGCCATTGTTTTCAGAAAGCTCTGTGAAATCCATTAAAGGGTTGCTATCTGTAACAGGTCCTATGGCTGGAAGAGTTACCTTTTGGTGACACAGCTCACATTTCTTCCAAGTTGACATATCAGGGGATGGAGTAGGGGTACAAAAAGGTTGTTTTTCCTCTAAGGCATAAGTATAAAGATAGGTGGAGCACAAGCTGGGGGACTACCTTGGTTATTTTACAGCTTTTTTTTTTTAAATTTGACTTGATACATGTTTGAGTAGCTTGTACTTAAAAGGAGGGTAGAGGTTTTATTTCCTTGAGTAATGAGAGAGTGCAGTGGGACAGGTGCTTTTCAGTCTGATTTAAATACTTCAAAACAATATTCTTATCACCAAAGATGCAAATAAATGCCTGCATGCCTTGGACAGTCTGGACTAGAAATGTTCTTTAATTACAGATAACTTATTAATTTGCTTTTAATACAAAACACAGTCGTTAACTTCCTTTATTGTATGTCTGTCATGTTTCAGAAAAATTCTATTAAACAGTTTTATTATGCTTTTTTCTGTGTGTTTTGAGGTTAGTCAGTTCAGCTTCTCGCTGTGGAAGTCTTGTTTGCAGAAAATGAGCAGTGTTCTGCAGGTCATTATTTTTTCTCCATGTGAGGACAAAAAGATGGACATTAGAAATACCAGGGACCTTACTTGGTGACTCAGTTATGTCTTTCTTACCTGTTGAGTAGGAGATAGCCCTTTCCTTCTTTACCTGTGAGATGGCTCTGACCACACTCTGGAGCTCCATCTCCTCTTTGTTTTGTACATGAGCTGGGGGCATGTGGGGAGGAGAAGGAACTTGGTCCCCATTGTTTGATGGGGGCTAATGCTGCAGCCTATACAGCTGTAAGGCTACACCCCTGTCCCACAGCTAAAGGAGCTTCTTGGCTGATGGGCCACATCATGCATGTCTTCAAGGAAACTTGTCCCACAGTGCTTGCAGCGACACTGTTCTTCACCTGTGTGTTTGAACGAACGATTTAAAAACCTCAGCCAAATCTGGTAAATCTCTCTTTCTGTATATTAAAAAATTATAAGAGTGTAGTCTTAACTGTATAAATAAAGTTCATGCTTAGCATTACTAAGACAGTTTTGTAGAATCATCTAACGTGTGCATCAAAACATGATTAAAATCTGTATTGTAAATTGGAGTTTCTTGATTTAAATCATGATTTTTAGACTTGATTCATTCTCAGCTTATTTTTACTAGAAGGGATTTCACTACTGATTTAATGGAGGTATTTTTGGCAATTGTTTGTAGATATGGGTGTAGAAATCCACTGAAATATTTTCTTGGAAGAGTAAAACTGAGAAAGAAAATGGAGAAAGAGTAGGAAACTCTATACCTTTGTAAAAGATGTGAGGGAGAAAAGTCAGATGTTTGCCAATATTGAAATGAAATACTGAAGGCATTAAAGAATGCATACTTTAGAACAGATTTTATTCCTTTGGTGTGAAGTAGTTTAATGCAAGAGAACCTATCAGCAGCTCTTCTATCTTTTTGGTGCATGGGATTAAAGAAGGGGAATGTGAAAAAAAGAGTGGTACAGTCCTGCAAGATGACCAGCTATACCTGGCAGGATGTTGCAGTACTTAATGGCTGGGTGCAAATTTCTTGGGGTTTCCTAGAATGGAATTTACCACAGTAAGCCAGAATAAGAATGTGGCCACTAGCTCAGTAGAAGGCATACTTAATGGTGGATTACAGGTCTTTGTTTTGCTCTTTGAAGACTTACTTCTGTTTTGGGATATCCCAAATATGCCATCTGTGACTTTTATAAAACGAAAATAATAGAACATATTTTTATTTTATAAGATTGTACAAAAGTTTCATGTTAAGTCAGTGTAAGTTTCAGTGTAAGTTACATCACTGTTTGTTTTTCACCAAGCTCTCGACTCACATAGTTCTGTGATTCCTGTGGTACCTTAGAGCCGTGGAGGATGTTGGCATTCAGATATACAGGAAGTTATTCTTTGATAGTTTATTGGTAGAAACTCTTCTCACAAGACTCTTCCTTTGAAGGCTTTGTGCCCTGATGGGTTTAGCTGGTATGTGCTGCGCCATTCTGCTGCATGTCACTATTCCTACAGCAAGTGAAAATTGTACTTAAGTTTCATATACTGTGTATCAGTCTGGCGTGTTAATGTAAGCTGTCATGTTAAGGTGTATTTTGTGCTGACAATGTCAACAGACAGTTGCAGTGGCTGAGCTGAGAGGGATTTGATCCTTAGAGGAGGAGAGGTGATTTTGGAAAAGTGAAGGCAGAAGACAGTTAAATGAGATCTTAAAGCATAGTAGAAGAGTGACCACATTGTATCAGGCTTAGTGTCCATCCAGGCAATTGCCAAATGTCTAACAATTCTGAGGAAAAGGTATCTGGTTACTACATAATGATGCTACTACTTTCATCCTCGAACAGCTTATTGCTCAAGGACTTCCTAAACTTGAGGCAGTATTACTTATCCACCAGCCCTCTGACTGAGACTGACTTTTCTGCAGCCTTGTTACTCTCTTAACCTACATAAATTCTTGGAAGTCCACAGCAT